CAGTGATTCTCAACCACTGTGCCGCGGCACTTTTGTGTGCCGCCAAATTCTTAAAAATGTGCCGCCAAATATTAGAAATGATGCAATAAAAATTATAATGCTTTTTTTTATTATGAGTAAAGTTTAAAATAAAGAAAAGTGTATATATATATACTTTTCATAATTTTCCCACGCTTTAACAGCGTGATAGCATCTTCGTCGGCGATTTTATTGTCTCTGACAATCTTAAAATAAGATGGAAGTGTTTAACACACAATTTTAAAAAATGTTGTAAGAGCTGATCATTTAAGTAAGCTATGCAATTAGTAAGCAAACTAACAAAGGATAACTAAAAAAACAAATATATAAAAAACAAATTAACAAAGGATAATTAACAAAAATTAAGCTAACAATTAATAATTAGCAAAAAACTGGTTAACAAGAAATAAAAAAAAAAAACAGTTAATAATTATAGAAAACAAGCTAACAATTTATAACTAGCAAAAAAATAACTGTTACTAACTAATAAAAAATTGGTCGAAAGAAATAATTAATCCCTTAATAAATGTGATTTTGCAGTGCATATTATTTTATTCCACATTCAAAATTATTATCACAAACTACTTAACACAGTGTAAAATAGGTAATTAAACAACTTTTAATCTAATTTTTTCATTGTGTGCCGTCAAATTTTGAAATCGTTAAAAGTGTGCCGCAACGAAAAAAAGTTTGAGAATCACTGAACTAGAGAAATGAAGATTGGTATTTAGTCAGGTAAGCGAAGAATCACTTTAACTAGTTTAACGATCCAACAGAAACTAGTATCCACACAGAAATCGGTACTCTTTTGCTACAATTTTCATTCCGGATTCAAAAAATAAAAATAATTGGTTTTGTTGGCGATGATCTCGTAGAACGATAAAGAATCATGCATAGTACACACGCAGAGCCTTCAGAATTCTTTTAAAACGATCGCTCAAAGACTAATAACACGGCCTGCGATATTCGACGGGTAAGGAAAGGGGGTATGAAATTCTCCTCGAAGGAAAAGTGGATTAATACCCCAAGGACCGGTTTAAGGTGAATGAATCTTTCTTTGGGATGAATCGACACAAAGAAGATGTATGGGTATTAATGTATGGTAACCTCTGGAACTGGTCTTGTTGTCGATGCGAGCGCCAACCAGTTTGTCTACGTTCAGTCGCTTTACAAAATTCCTGAAGGGTAAGGTGAGTCGTCTTTACCCCCTATACTAGTCCCCGTTTGCAGGAAATTGATGTTTTGCGGGAGGGAAATTATACGGATCTATTTTTTGAATTTTATTTACCTGCGAATTGACTGATGACTCTGTCACAGGGTAAGTGTGAATTGCAGTTTCTTCCCTCAGAAAGAGGAAAGCAAATTTTGATCTTTGAGAACTACAGGTATAATCTAAAACGAATGAGTAAAAAGGGGAAAGCAAAGTGGATCTGTGGAACGAAGGTGAAATCGAAGTGTAGTGCGATTGTTTGGTTAATTGATGGCGTTTTTCATTCTCGATCTGGTCGCCACAACCACGAAACAGATGAAAAATTCATCGAGAGGAAAAAACTGATGATGAGCATGAAAAAGGCAGCTGTTAGAGATGTTACCGTTCCTTTAAAGACAATCTACGAGTAAGTTTCCATTTTATGTGTTTTGTATTTAATTCAAGTTAGTAAATCAAGAAAAAACTACTTTTATGTATGCAATAAAGCTGATTTAAATTAGTATTCTTAAAGAAATTATCGCTCATGGGCTGCAATAGCGGCACAACTCAAAAAATCAAGTTTTGAGATAAGTGGGTTTAAAGTTTTCATTGCTAAGGAAAGCGCTTTAGTTTGCTTAAACGAAGATTACCTTCAAGTTGAATGATGAGTTGCGCTAGTACTGCTGCTGAAAGAATGTGCATTTTCATACTTACACCTGTTCTTAGTCCAAACCGCGTGTTTCTTGATGAGTTGCGCTAGTACTGCTGCTGAAAGAATGTGTATTTTCATACTTACACCTGTTCTTAGTCCAAACCGCGTGTTTCTTGAGTTGTGCCACTATCGCAGCTCATGAGCGATATATATTGTGAGGTAAATATGTGTAGTCGAAATTGAAAAATACCATTGAATCAACTGAAAAGTACGGTACTTTAACGTCGCAAAACTACAGAAAAATTGGAAAATTCTTCGTAAAAAAAAATCTGCTTGATATTTTTAGGCTTATTTCGATCAACTTATTCCGACCATACTTACAATAACAGCATATATATAATCAACATATGAAGCTTATTATAGCTCGTATATATTGCAATAAGGCTATTTACGCTAAGCCTGTACTATGGACTTGTTGCAAACTGCCTGAAATAAATCAGGCTGATTCAATGACGATGTAATTTCTAATTGCCCTAATGGTATGTGGGTTCACTACAATAAGCCTAAAAATGTCGAGTTAATTGGAAAAGTTTTCAATATTTCCTTATCGGTCTTATATTTCTAGGTTTATTATAATCGACTTTTGTGGAGCTGAGGTGATTCAGGGAATATGAAGGAATATATATTCGAATCCGGGTCCCGCAATGAGGTGACCTGTGTTCGAATCCCAACGAGGGCTATGGCACCGACCGCAGTGCTGACGTAAAATATCCTCAGTGGTAGATGGGTAATGGGTCAGAGTCCCCTTGAGTCGTCAGGTTAACAGTGGAAGATTTTTTTGGTTTTCCTATCTATGGCGAACCGGGTTCGAATCCCAGTCGATACGAATTCCGTATCCAACTTGCACCGACCACAGTGCTGACGTGAAATATCCTCAGTGGTAGACGGATCATGGGTTAGAGTCGCCTTGCCGTCAGGCTAATCGTGGGAGGATCTCGCGGTCTTCCTCTTCATGTAACGCAAATGCGGGTTAGTTCTCTCAAAAAGTCCTCCACGAAAGCAAATTTCTCCCAATACTTGATACAGGAGTTCCCTTATCTTCTGGATTGGGTTCAAATTACAAGGCTACGGAGATGAACATTAGAAGTCGTAAAGCCAAAAATTGAGTCGGCTGTTCAACGACGATTATAAAATTATTAAATATATGCTCTTAGACTAATCAGGAAATGTGCAAAAAATTACTCAGACCTAATTTACTAAGTCTTATTGCAACAAATATTTTAAAAAGTTATTTGCTATAAGCTTCACTACTCTGGACCTAATTTTAACTGCCTGAAATAAATCAGGCTGATCCAACATTGAATGATGTATTTTCTACAGGTACGTGAACTCACTTCAATAAACCTAAAAAGTGTAAGGCTAATTCGAACATACAGGAGACTTCACTAGTTAAAAGACTGACGCATTACAAAGAGCCGAACTAATGAGTTAATTTATGGCATCTCTAAGGAGGCATTTTTTTAGTGATAGTTATAAAGTGTCTCAATTAATAAATGAAAAGAATTACTTTTGGTCTTCTAAATTTTATATTTTTGATATTTATGAAACATATTGCTTACGTTGATCAATATTTTCACAGAAAAGAAATAGCCAAAGCAGCAGTTTCACTTGAAGCAACTGCCAATTTACCACAATTTCAAAACATCAGAAAATGTTTAATCAAATCTCGGAATTCTGCTGTGCCAAAACTGTCAACTGGTGATGATGTAGAATTATTATTAAATCCTCAAAGGAAGACAGAAAATGGAAGAAAGTTTCTTTTAGCAGATGGCAGTGAAGAGAAAACTAGAGAACCGGTAAGAGCTTTATTCACTTAAATGCATATGTTACCGGCAAAGTATGAAATCCGGCATTGTATAGAATGCCTAAAATTAGCCGGCAAAGTATGAAATGATTTATATTTTACACACTACCTAGGCATTCTATAGAATGCCAAATACTTTTTAGGAAAAGTATGAAATAAGCGTCCTGATGAGGTTATTACGTAAATGGTGTGCATGTTACTGTGAATGACCAAAATCGGTGGATGTTGACTTTCACCGGTGAATGTTGGCAATCACATAGTAGCTTTGGTGAATGTCCGAAATATTTATTACATCCGATTTGATATTAATTTATTCGTGTACATAATTACATTTATTCGATATTTTAATACTTACTGACGATAGATTAGAAGAAACATCAGTGTTTGGAGCATCGGGCAAATGTATACTGGGCAATGGCCCTTAACTAGGTCTAGTTAAGTACCACTGCCCGATATACATTTGCCCGGTATACCCTACACTGATGTTTTTTTAAGGTCAAGTGCCATTGCCCGGTATACATTTGCCCGGTATACCCTACACTGATGTTTCTTCTAATCTATCGCCAGTAAGTATTAAAATATCGAATAAATGTAATTACATACACGAATAAATTAATATCAAATAGAATGTAATAAATATTTCGGACATTCACCAAAGCAACTATGTGATTGTCAACATTCACCGGTGAAAGTCAACATCCACCGATTTCGGTCATTTGCAGTAACATGCACATCATTTACATAATAACCTCATCAGGACGCTTATTTCATACTTCGCCAAAATAGCATTTGGCATTCGATAGAATTCCTAGGCATTGTATACAATGCCTAGGCAGAGTATGTAATAATTCTCACATTTCATACTTTGCCTAAAAACGTCAGGCATTCTATACAATGCCGGCGTTTCATACTTTGCCGCGGTAACACATACAATGTCATTATTTCGGAATAGAAAACTAGTTTTTCTGTTCAACGGATTTTATTGTTCAGCTTAGCTGTAATAGCAAGCACTCTATTTTTTTGCAACCGTTTGGCTGTTATCGTTCTCATGTTGCTGTTATAATAATTCCATAATTACGTCGTACCACTAATAACTACACACTTTATAACTATCTAAAAACTGTAAAACCATTCGACATCATCACTTCGTAGTAAAAAACATGTTTTTTTTAAAGGTTCTTATTAATCATTATAACAAGCACTCTGTTGTTTTGAAGCCAATTGGCTGTTATCGTCGTTTTATGTTATTGTCATCGTAATTAGCAACAATTATATCTTGGCCCCAGTTGGGCTCGAAATTGGCTCAATATAGGTCCTATATGAACAAGCTCTGAGGGATCAATATTGGAATGTCTAGATTTTTTTAATATCGGCATGGCCGAGNTTCACTAGTTAAAAGACTGACGCATTACAAAGAGCCGAACTAATTAGTTAATTTATGGCATCTCTAAGGAGGCATTTTTTTAGTGATAGTTATAAAGTGTGTCAATTAATAAATGAAAAGAACTACTTTTGGTCTTCTGAATTTTTCATTTTTGATATTTATGAAACAAATTGCTTACGTTGATCAATATTTTCACAGAAAAGAAATAGCCAAAGCAGCAGTTTCATTCGAAGCAACTGCCAATTTGCCACAATTTCAAAACATCAGAAAATGTTTGATCAAATCTCGGAATTCTGCTGTGCCAAAACTGCCAACAGGTGATGATGTAAAATTATTATTAAATCCTCAAAGGAAAACAGAAAATGGAAAAAAGTTTCTTTTAGCAGATAGCAGTGAAGAGAAAACTAAATTACCGGTAAGAGCTTTATTAATTTCTAAGTATAATAAATACAATGTCATTATTTCGGAATGGAAAACTGGTTTTTCAGTTAAAAAGTTTTTTATTGTTCAGGTTAACTGTAATAACCAAGCACTCTATTATTTTGCAGTCGTTTGGCTGTTATCGTTCTTATGTTGCTGTTATAATAATTCCATAATTACGTCGTACCACCAATAACTACAGACTTTATAACTATCTAAAAACTATAAAAACATTTAACGTCATCACTTCGTTGTAGAAAAACATGTTTTCTTTATTTAAAAGTTTCTATAAATCATTATAGCAAGCACTTAGTTATTTGGATGCCAATCGGCTGTTATCGTCGTTTTATGTTATTGTCATCGTAATTAGCAATAATTATATCTTGGCCCCAGTTGGGCTCGAAATTGGCTCAATATGGTTTCTTATATGAACAAGCTCTGAGGGACCAATATTGGGATGCCTAGATTTTTTTAATATGGGTATGGCCGAGCCGCGATGGCTCAGGGGACAGAGCGTTCGCCTTCCAATGAGGTGAACCGGGGTTCGATCCCAGCAATGGCTTTGTCGATACGAATTCCTCATCCGGCTCGCACCCACCACAGTACTGACGTGAAATATCCTCATTGGTAGACGGATCATGGGTTAGAGTCCCCTTGCCGTCAGGCTAACCGTGAGAGGTTCTTGTGGTAGCCTGGTTGGTTGGGCACTGAGCCCATGCCCAAAAGTTTGTGGGTTCGATCCGCACTGGCCGAAGACTCGCCGTTAAGCAAAAGGTGTACTCTGGGGGTACTGATCCAGGAGTTTCCTTGTCTTCGGGATTGGGTTCAAATTTACAAGGCTACGAAGTTGAGCATTAGTTAGTCGTAAACCCAAAATTGGGTGGGCTGTTCAACGACAGATGAAATAAAAATATCGGTCCTATGCTGTGTCAATATCGGCCTATATAGGGCTTATATTGGCTGAATAATGATTATAAAATATTGGGTAAATCTGACTATTTTATATGGGTCCAATATTCGTCGTAAAGTGGCAGTAAGATATCGGGTGAATCGGACAATTTTGTATAGATCCGATATTCGTTGTAAAGTGGCAGTAAAATATCGGGTAAATCTGACAATTTTATATAGGTTCGATCTTCGTAGTAAAGTGGCAATAAAGTATCGGGTGAATCGAACAATTTTATATAGGACCGATATTCGTTGTAAAGTGGCAGTAAAATATCGGGTGAATCTGACAATTCTATATGGGTCCGATCTTTGTTGTAAAGTGGTAGTAAAATATTGGGTAAATCGGAAAATCGATATAGGTCCTATATTGGAAAAATATAGGCCCTTCGAACCCTTTTTGAGCCAAGATTCATGAATATTGCTCCAAAGAGAGCCCAAGTAATTTTTGCTGCTAGGAATGATAACGTCAACATTGTATCAACTCAAAAACTACAAGATCTTAAAACCGTGTGGGAACAATAAACGCCTACGAACTTATTATTAGTAGAAAACTAGTTTTTTTTTTATTTTATTTAAAAGGTTAAAGTATCATCAAACCTGACTTACATTGTCCGCCCAACCAAGAGAAAAACGAACACGGAATCGAACTTAATTTTCTTTCTTAAAGAAATACAATATTTTTTTTGAAGACGGAAGAGGTCAATTGGATGGGAAATGGGAGGAACCTCACAAAAATCCTCTTGAAAAACTCCACGAGGTTGAAAAAAAAAGTGACCTCACACAAAACGGTCCTGCCCTTCAGTAACTATCACAAGTTGGTGCTGCGCCATTTCGAAATAATTAATCAATAGTTACTTGTTTTGCCTTTCTAACCTCATGTCACGATTGTGGACCACTTCCATTGTTCGAGAGGAGTTATAAATATTAATTATTCGATTTTTTGCTCCATTGAAACGAATGAAATATACATATTATTGTTGAGTATGGAAAATTATTTGGAGGTTATTTTTTATGTATGAGGTGAATTGTTGAATGCTTTAAATTCGAATGGAAATATTGCGAAATGTTTGGTTGTTAAGTAACTAAGGCCTTAGGTTTTGAAGATTCTGTCATTATTTGAAGCAACGTTTTATCTAGAAAATAATAGGCTCTATTTTTACAGAAGTTATTAATGATTGTTAGGTTAAGTTTTAACGTTTTTAGCAAACTTCTTTTATGTTAATTCGAAAAATGGCGCAAAGTGTCAATAAGAAAAAAAGCCACAGTGTTGCGAAAATGAAAAACGTTTAAGGTTTAATTTTATATATTTATAAAAAAGTAGCTTCAACACTGCTTTGTTTTTGACTCTTAAAAAAAACGCAAAATTGGAGTTAAGAAGACTCATAAAACGTGTTACAATTGATAGAAAATCAATTGATAGAATTACAATTAATAGAAAATCTCGCCAAATTGGCGATTTTTTATAAACAAATTTCATTCTTTATTTATTGGCGATTTTTTAAAAACAAATTTTATTCTTTATTAATTTAGTGAGATTACTCACCTTGTTGAAAATTATTAAAATAAATTAATAAAAACACCTTTAAGCTGTTTTTAGAAAATTCTTTCGTCAAATAAAATAACGCTTTTTAACGTATAGGGTATCCTTTAATAAATGTAGGGAGTTTATAACAGTTACTCATAACTGTTAAGTTTTGCGTTTTTTCCTACCTCACTGTTAGATTGAATGAAAGAAAACTGAAAAGTCTGAAAAAATATAATCTGTGTAAAAATAATAGTTAAACAACGACACTGCTATAGTTTGTCTACGGTAAGAACTCCCCCCTCCACAAAGTCTGAGGTTGTCTGCTGCTATGTAAACAAGTATAGCGCATTTCAGAGAAGGAAATGTCTCTTCACTCTATCACAATACACCGAAAAAAAAGACTCCCTTTCTCTCGCCAAAATCTGTCCTAAACAGTGACCTCTAACCCCTATTTAAGATAGTTATACCTCGTTGCTATAGTCACCGCCACTGGTCCAGACGATAGCTACTTTACTTTTTTTAGATCTTACTTTAGACAAACTAAACAATTACTCTGTAATGGTGTATTTAACTTTACGTAAACAATGAGCTATGTAACTATTTACTATTATTCAACTTTTTTGATATAAATTTGTTATAAATCAAATTTGTTTTACCCTCACTTGCTCTTACTCATAAATTTCGAAACAAAGATAGATTTTTAAATAAAATTTGTTTATTTTGCCATTTTCGTACAATTAAAAAAAGTCAAAATAATAAATATCCCCCCCCCCCACCCAAAGAAAAGAAACTGGATGGTTTGCTGCGTTTTACTTAAAGAGTCAAATAATTTTTCTCACTAAAATTTCAAAATTAGATGTAAAAATCTTCTCCAGAGAACGCTGTTGTCTGACGAACGATAAAACAATATTTTCTGCTGCCTGTGAGACTATTAAATTTTACATTTTTGCACGGTTGTTGTTATTGAAAATTTTATTTTAAAGCTTTTTAAATTTGAAACGTCATCTGTTGAAAATGTTTGTAACAAATTTTGAAACATTGTGCGAAGAAAATCTTTGATTTTCTAAACAATTATATTATTAATATTATTTGTCGCTAGTGGCGACAAATAATGTATTACCTCTTTCCATTTTTTTTTTTTTTNTTTTTTTTTTTTTTTTTGTACTGCATAGATGATATCCCGCTCTGATGTTAAATATTAATTTTTTTCTTTTTCTCATAAGTTATACCCCTTTGTGTTTGTTCTACGCCTTTTTTTCTACTTATAAAACAAAAAAATATATATATATATTCTTGTACATACATATTTCCTTTTTTATGTTTATGCACATCATGGAAAAATCAAAAAATATATCCTTGACGTAAAGAAAATAAAGATTTCATAATAAATAAAATATCTAATTTGCTTTTTTATTTATTTATTTTTTAAAAATTGTTACGTTTTTTAACTATTTAAATCTTTATTCATTAATCTCAAATCTCAAATGAGCTGTATAATGTAAAATTTACAAATCATTTTTTCTTATTAAAAAACCTGGAATTAATGTCTTTGGTAATTAATGAGATTAGATTTAGCAGTTTTCTAGAAATAATTTGTGTTATTCTGATTCAGTAGTTTTTTAGTGCGGTAGTTTTTTGTTAAGTTTAAACTAGCAGTTTCCTTGTAGTTATTGGAGTAAATCGATGAAGTAATTTTCTTATGTTCATGTTTTCTGTTAATTTGAGCTAGCGGTTGTTTAAATATAATTGGTGTAAATTAATTGCGGTATTTTTCAAAGAATCTGTGTAATTTGATTCAACAAATTTCTAGTAAATAAGGTTCCAAGCAGATTGTACCATTTTATGATTATTTCCTGTAAAAAATATCGACGCTTTGTGATTTTAAGAAAATTTAAAAGTTTTCCATGCAAAACTAATATTGGCTGCCATTTTCTTTTTTTGGAAGAACGCTGGAAAATGAGTAAAAGAAGAATGGAAAGATATCGTTTGCGATTTCTCCGAGTAACAAATGGCAATGCCACATATCCAGTTCTTTGCCTTCCCATAAAAGTAGATAAGGGTCCTATTTTTCATTTTAACTCCATTCGGAGAGAATAAAAATGTCTAAAGCAGAATCTTCAGATTACTGAAGAAATGCGGGTGTGCTGTATTTTCTTGATCGCCCATACAAAGAAATGGAACATAATACTTCCAAAGATATGATATTGCGAACAATCGCTTGAAAAAAATGATATCGGTTGACGTGACAATAAGATTATAGACGTGTGAGTCAGCTAAATCTGGTGAATATATAAACATATCCTCCGCTTTTTTCAATTGTGTCTGAATTGAGATGTTTCGCCATTTTGTTTCGATTCGTCGTTGCGTGCAGACGTTTTTTTTTTTTAAAAAATTAAACAATTGTTTTGAAGACATTTTGAATTTATATGCACGATTTTCTCGAAGCTGTTCTTCTCTGATGTTAATATTCAGCGAGTCAGTTTAGAATATTTTTTTCTATACATAATTTGTAGGCTAAAACAGAACGATTGTCGTTGACCTGCTGGTCTGGGCGCTATGTGTAGGTCAGAACATCCCCCCCCCCCAGAAAAAAAAAGTCATAATAAGATCTTGAAAAAGAATGTATAAGTATTTAAATATTGTAAATAAAATGCTTAAATTGTAAATAAATTCTTTTTCATGATTTTTTTTAAAAAATTATTGCTTAGAACTTTCAAACAATAATTAATTAATAGAACTTTCAATGAATATTGATTAATAAAACTGACGAGGTTTGCTTTGTTAAGAATGTTTTATGTATATTTATTTAAATATAATAAATAAATAAAATGAAATATTGTTTAAGATTTGGTTGTCACAATAATGATACGTTGTCGATGCGAATAAATCACGCCTAAGTTACGAAAATTTCTTGAAATTTTTTATAAAATTATTGTTTAGAACTTTCAAATTAATATTTATTAATAAAACTGAAAAACTGAAGAAGTTTGTTTTGTTAAGAATGTTTTATGTATATTTATTTAAATATAATAAATAAATACAATGAATTATTGTTTAAGATTTGGTTGTCACAATAATGATACGTTGTCGATGCAAATAAATCACGCCTAAGTTACGATCACTTTTAGAAAATCTCATTGAAATTTTATTGAATACAAAGAAAAAAATTTGACTTGTATTTGTGTTTCATAAAAATGTGCTCATTAATAAATTTAAATACATAAAATCTATGAGATTTCACTCAGAAAGCAAAAAGTAAAAACAGAAAAGGTAAAAATTGAATTTTTACTTCAGCAGAAGATTGGGATTGATTTCTTGAATAAAATCTTAGAAAAAAGAGGGTATTCTAAATTACATTTCCCCAAAATTAAAGATAATAGATTATTGGTTATTTATTTATTATTTTTATCTACAAGTGAACGAGGAAAGGGGAATCGCCTCATTTTAGGAAAACTTCACTACAGTCAACTACAGCACGATCGTCTGTCTTCTGCTTTAATTTGGAAGCTTGCCAAAACAGGAATGAAACAAATATATTCTCCTCGTTTCCTCTTTTACTCTAAAGAGGGCGCCACACAAGCAAGCAATTCTTACTTGAGTTTGAACTTGATGGAGCTGTGGTTTTTTTAACTTTTTTTTATTGCGATAAGTTATCAGCTGTGTAATTCTAAATGGTACTAATTAGAATTATTTTACAAAGTAAAAACGGTCATCGTGTTGTGTTCGCAATGATTTTTTGAATTGTGAAATGGATGCGAACAACTTTGCCACAATGCGAGTAACTTATGAAACTCTACCTCCTGAATTTGAGAACGAAATAGTGGAGAGCAATGAAAATTCTGTTTTAATACGAAGCAACTTGAAATCTTTGATGGATATAAATACTTGGACTCAAAAATTTGGAATGATTACGAATACGAAATGGAATTCTAGAAGCTCTCAACCTCTTGGCAGAAAATTTGTTTGCAAGTAAGTTCGCAATTTTTTTTTCCATCTTGTTTTTAATATCTTACTGTATAAGCGAATAGTTTCAAAGTCAACTCAATTCATATGTAAAATCTTTTCATAAAAGACAAAAAAGAAAGAAAAAGAAAAGAAAAGAAAAAAGAAAATATATTGACTTTCTCTTTTGGCAATTCAAAATTAAGAAGAAAAAAAATTTTTTTTTTTGCGTTTTCGGCTATAAAATAACTTATGAAACCCTTTTTAGTCTGTGTAAAATAGTAATAATGATGATACTTAGGTTTAGTTTCCATCATTCATTAACAGTTTGCAAAAGGGCGATGATAAAGATTTCGTAGAAATTACAGTCTGGGAAGAGGGTTGCCTTGCTTAAATTTAGGTTGAGATATAACTTAAGCATGGTTTTGGTAAATTTACTTTAACGATTTTGGTGCCTTCTCTTGTGTCAGCTAAAATGAGCTAATTACAACTACACTATGCTTATGTGAGATAATATTTTCCATAATTTATTTTATTACCGGTGTGGAACAGCAGAACTATTTCTGAATTTACGACTATAAATGTTTAATTCTAAAGGCTTATAATTTTGGACCCAACCGAGAAGACAAAGGAACTCCTGGATTAAGCTTTGGGACAAACTGGATCTTAATTTATTACATCCACCTTCCTGCACTGATTGCATATTGATATTGCTTTATCTTTTCCCCGTTTAAATACTTAGCGACATTCCCTATGCCTATATTTTTTCGTTGGCAACTTTGATAAGAATTCTAAAAATACTTATTTATGGTGGTCGTTACGGAACACCCAATGTATAATCCCTCTTGTCAACTAATTAGAACTAATCATAAACCCTTCCCCTTATAATTGCTACATATCTAAATGGTCTTGTCTTAGTGGCTCAAGAGACAAAGCGTTTGCCTTCCTGAAGGTAACTCAGGTTCGAATCTCGGGGATGGCTAATCGAATCGAATTCTTGATCTGAATCCGAATTGCTGACTATACATAACTAACTAAAATATCCTTAGTAGTAGACGGATGATGGGTGAAAATTCCCTAACTATTGGGCTGATCGTGGGAGGTTTTCGAGGTTTTCCTTTGCTTGTAATGCAAATGTTGGTTAGTTACATTAAAAAGTCCCTCGCGAAAGCTCGTTTACTTCATTACTTGATCCAGGAGTCTTCTTATGTTCAGGGTTAAGTTCAAAATTTCAAGGCTACAGAGTTTAACATTGATAGTATAATGTGTCATATTTTCAATGTCGGTCATAAATTAAAAAATAAAATGTCTTGACAATTTCAATTTTAAAGATTAGTTAAAAATTAATGTAAAAATTTTTAATTGAAAATTAACTAATTAACAAGAATAAAAAGTATAAAAGAAATTTATTCTGTATTTTGTAATTACTTATATTATGTAACTCTGTTGTGTACTATATTTAAAAAAGTAACTATCATTTATGTTTATGGAATAATATGTTGCTTACTTTTGAACTTTACACAATTTTGTTTTCCAACTCTTAACACCTTTTTCACTTATTATTTTCTTTTGTTAAATTTATTATTTCAATTGTTTCAATTAAAACAATTGTTTTTTTATTATTCGGGGTCTTTTTTTTATCTGCAATAATAATTATTTAATGAGGTAATATCGTAATAGTAATACTTATAGAAAAAGGAAATTGAGGAATTTTATGTATATGATATCGTGAGAAATACCGACAACGATAGTTATCGATAATATCACTATCTAAACAACAATAATTCCTATGATTTTCACTAGTCATATTGTTATTTTATAATAGAAACAAATTGATTAATGTGGAGTAAAGAATAATACATAATAAAGTAAAACAGATTTTTTTTCAATAATTAAGTAACATTTCCGTACATTTTGTATCAATTTTAACTATTTTAAAGACGTTGGAAATATATTTCTCACCAACTTTATTAAATTTAATTGTGAATGGGAAACTATTTTCCCACTCACTATTTGTGCGACTATCTTCTGATAACTTAATCAAAATAATTAGTACTGAAGTGCTTTGCTTACGTAAAGGTTGGTACCAGTAAAGGCTAGCATGGGATCAAGAAGAGATGCTAAACACTGGGAGGGGGCGGGGCTAATTTCTCTAATGCGTTATCGTTTGGAGCCGCGATGGCTTTGAGGATAGAGCGTTCATCTTCAAAGAGGTGAACCGGGTTCGAATCCCGGCGACGGCTGGTCGATACGAATTCCGCATCCGACTTGCACCGACCACAGTGTTGACGTGAAATATCCTCAGTGGTAGTCAGATCATGGGTTAGAGACCCCTTGCCGACAGGCTAACCATGGGAGGTTCTCGTGGTCTTCCTCTCCATGTAACGCAAATGCGGGTTAGCTCTATCAAAAAGTCCTCCACGAAGGCAAATTTCTCCCACTACTTGATCCAGGAGTTTCCTCGTCTTCTGGATTGGTTTAAAATCAAAAGACTACGGAGTTGAACATTAGTAGTCGTAAACCCAAAAATTGGGTTGGCTGTTCAACGACGGTTATAAAATATAAAATACGTTATCGTTCAGTTCTTATGTTTTTTTTTCAAAGTTATAAATATAAGTTCTTTATAGTTTATACATAAATATATGATTTTACGAGAGATAATAATAAAGAAAGAATAGTAAATGTGGAAGTTATATTTAAATTTATTTATCAGTTTAATATTTAGCTTCTCTATTTTGCTTGGAAAACGAATTAATTCGAAACGGTTATCATTCATTTTTGATAGTGTATTTTTTTTCTACCTTACTTGTCTACGTTTGATTATTATCATTACTTTCATACCTTAATTTAATTATTTTGAAAAATTGTATGCAATTTGTCGTTATTTTTTTTTTCTTACATAATTTCGCGTAAGTTTTAATACTCAATGTATAAATATTATTTTGAATGTTGCATGTCACCTGGCTTCAAACGAATACTTTTTTTTATGTTATGCTCCATATTGCTAATAAGTTTTTAAATGGACATTTTCCAGAAAAATATTCATTTGCAAACATAGCTCCTTTGGAAAGTCACCTCCTGGAACTCTCAAAAGGAGCATGACGAAAAACAAAGGTTGCAAGGCTACAATTCAGGCAAAAATAAGAGTAAACAGTGCATCAACCAGAAGGAGAGATACATATGTTCGTGTAAGTTTATTGCTTTTGGTGTAAAATTGTTTAATTAGTTAGGTTTTCTTTTATTATTTCAATGTATAGTTAGGTTTTCTTTTAACATTGCAATGTATCGTTTAGTTTTCTTTTACATTACAATGTATAGTAAGATTTCCTTTTAACATTACAATGTATAGTTAGGTTTTCTTTTAACATTGCAATGTATAGTTAGGTTTTCTTTTAACATTACAATGTATAGTTAGCTTTTCTTTTAACATTACAATGTATAGTTTAGTTTTCTTTTACATTACAATGTATAGTAAGATTTCCTTTTAACATTACAATGTATAGTTAGCTTTTCTTTTAACATTGCAATGTTTAGTTAGCTTTTCTTTTAACATTGCAATGTATAGTTAGGTTTTCTTTTAACATTGCATTGTATAGTAAGGTTTTCTTTTAATATTGCGATGTATAGTAAGAGTTCCTTTTAATATTGCAATGTATAGTAAGGTTTCCTTTTAACATTGCAATGTATAGTGAGGTTTTCTTTTAACATTAAAATGTATCGTTAGGTTTTCTTTTAATATTGTAATTTATAGCTAGGCGTTCTTTTAACATTGCAATGTATAAGTGAGATTATCTTTTAACATTACAATGTATAGTTAGGTTTCTTTTTAACATTACCATGTATAGTGAGGTTTTCTTTTAATATTGCAATGTATCTTGGTTTTCTTTTAATACTGCAATGTATAGTTAGGTTTTATTTTAATAATGCAATGTATAGATAGGCTTTCTTTTAATATTGCAACGCATATCTTAATAGTGGCAGTAAATGCCATTTACTTTAATACGTTAATCGCCACATGCATTTTTAAGGAAATCTCCGCTAAGCTACATGCGCTTATTAGAAGCGCTCGTTATACGGTATAGCAATGCGAATTGTACTACTAACGGATTTAAATAAATAAAAATTATATTTGCGATAAATAAAAATTAATTTTAAATAAATTCTCAGCATAATTAAAAGCTCAAGAAGAAGTGAAATGATTGCACTTTACCATGTGATTTAAATCTGATTTAATTGGACACCTGTGAGCGTCGTAACGCTTGTGTGGCGGGCCTGATTAGCTTCTGAAAATTGCCAGACTAAATGCAAATTATAGAAAATTAATTATAATTTAAAAATTTATCTACTGACTTTTCCTTTCTGTTAAATATGTCTACGGCATTTTAACATGCATAAAAATTATAAATTTTTAAACATTTTTTATAAACTGATACACCGGTTTACTGAACCATTGCTCTAACCATCCATTGATTAAATGATTCGCCGTTAATGTTTCGCTTATGTTGTTTCATTGATTTCTATTCGTTAGATTCTTTATCACTTCAATCACTTATTCACTCGGTGTATCAGGAATCATTTTCAAATTTAATGGTTGTTATTTAATTCTGCTGATGTCTCAGTTTTCTTTTCTTAGACTAAGATAAGTTTTTTTTATATTTCTTAAGTTAAACTTGTAACTAATTTCTAACTAAAACCTCTTAAATGAAAACCTCTTCTTTAACTCTTGAAAGCAAATGAAAATTTTAACTTTATGTGAGACATTTCTTATTTGTTCATTGTTGCGTAATGTTGTACAATTAAGTGAAGGCCTTGTTTGAATAGATTGTTTATTTCGAGATAAAAAAAAGCAGTTATAAAGTCTAATGAGTTTATTATTTTCTTATCTGTTTAATAATGTTCTCTGTTTAGCAGCAAATAATAAGCTTGAGTTGTACTAGTTATGAATTAAGATAAGAATATCTTATCTTGTATGAACCTGTAAATAAGAATAACTCAAATATTTTTTCGCTCCAATAAATAGAGATTAAATCCACTGTTCAAATAAAAACTCATATTATGCGTATAAAACATCGAATGTAATCTGTATTATTCTGCTTTTGCATTTTTTTAAAATTCTTAATAAGTTAACATTCTACACTGGTATAATAAATTAAGAGAATTTGCAGACTTGATCGATTATCTCTAGAAGTACTGGATCAACTTTAATGAAATTTGATACGTACGTACACTGATATAATATAAAACAAATAACCATTCAACAATTGAAATACATACGCATGATCGTGCGTAACACTCATTGGTATGAAACAGCGGTATAATAAATTAAGAGAATTTGGAGACTTGGTCGATTATCTCTAGAACTAATGAATCGATTTTAATGAAATTTGATACGTACGTACACTGATATAATATAAAACAAATAACCATTCAACAATTGAAATACATACGCATGATCGTGCGTAACACTCATTGGTA